GTCCTTCAGACTGATCCGGTCGCCTTGCTCGTTTGCCTAAGACATTGAACTGGGGCTGGAGATGAGGTCCTTCAGACTGATCCGGTCGCCTTGCTTGTTTGCCTAAGACATTGAACTGGGGCTGGAGATGAGGTCCTTCAAACAGATCCGGTCGCCTTGCTCGTTTGCGTAAGACATTGAACTGGGGTTGGAGATGAGGTCCTTCAGACTGATCGGGTCGCCTTGCTCGTTTGCCTAAGACATTGAACTAGGGTTGGAGACGAGGTCCTTCAGAATGATCCGGTCGCCTTGCTCGTATTGCCTAAGACATTGAACTGGGGTTTGAGATGAGGTCCTTCAGACTGATCCGGTCGCCTTGCTAAGTCAGTCGATTTTTGCTTGTTGGAAAATACTTGACTTTTCTCCTTGTGAGAATAGTCCAGGCTAGTGTGTTGGTGATTACGTGGGCTTTGACTGAGAACAACCTGGAAAGTAAAAGTCAACTAAGTAAGATACAGGACTAATGTTTTTTGTGATCAGAATAAGGAAAAGATGAAAACTTTGAATGAACGAACCTTTGTTTGGTTGAATGCGTTGTGAACATGACATGCTGGTTGGCAATGACTTGTCGTTTGTTCAGGCTCCGTCTGTTTTCTGCATAGTAGGGTAGTCTGTTAGTGCTCGCCTATTGCTTGAGCGATAGGTAGGTAGATGCTCACTTTTGTTTTTTGCATTTGTCTTTTCATGCATGATTGTTTTGGTAGGGCATTGGCTAGCCTCTGAGTTAGTAGAAGTTATGGGAGTTTCCTTTCCTTAGGGGAGATGTTGCCAAAATTTCTGCTAAGTACTCAAAGTTTGTCAAGTTTCAGAGATGTCAGCCAGGATAGGATATAGTTTAGTCTTTGGAGTCAGTAGGAATTCAGGGAGTCTTCCTTTCTACCTTTCTAAAGGAAGTGCTGCCGAAATTTCGACTGAAACCAAAAAGTTAGTTTATTTTCAGATGTTTTGAGGGTCACGAGTTTTTCTTTTGAGATTAAGTAGAGTAAATATTCTTCAAAGACACTTCCCTAAAGGAAGTGCTGCCGAAATTTTCAGGCTTTTCATATCGTTATCGGACGCTACTACTTAGTAGCTTAGAATACGATACGGAGTTGAACTCCGTTAACTCGACAGGCGATGCCTTGATTTGTGACGCAGGTCATTGCTACCTGCGAGTGTTCTTTGAAGTTTTGAGCTTCATCAGCTTCTGCTATCTTATTGCGATAGCAGGTCAGTTTGCGACTCAATTCCTACCCACCATGATACCCACGCCCAAATGTTTGTGACCCTGTAGGCGAAAGACATTTTCGTGTGAAAGAAAATCTACCCTTGGTACCTCTCTTGAATGGTCATCCAAAAGTTGTGCGAATCGGGACGGGGCGGATATGCTTTTGTTGAGTGGGGGTCGGAAAGGGGCGTGTGGGACATGAATCTGGGAGAAAAGGGGTTGACCACGTTTTGTGGCATCTGCGTGTGAAATTTTCAATGGACTTCATGTGTGTGCAGATATGTATGGGAGCAACCGCTCGCTCATGAACTAAGGGTGATATGGGTGAATGAATGAAGGGTGTGAGTGACAAGGGGGTTCAACTATGGCTGTGAGAATGACTGTCCCTGATTTCCCTCGAGACTCACCAGTTTCTTTCTCTTATTTTACTCCTGTCATGTGCATCTAGCGAACAGGCAGGAGTAGCCGAGCGCAAGGTTTAGCGCTCGACCTTAGATCGGACTGAGACTTAGCTTGGGTACGACGAATTGCTCGCCAACCCGTGAGTACTCGTATCTTCCTTGCGCAGGGGAAGGACGAGCGTACCCCGTCTCAAAAGGGGTCTTGCTTTTAAGATTACTAAATGGACATTGGTCATGAGCCTGGAATTCGAGGTCCTTGTCCAGGACGTCCCAGGCTCCGGTCCAGCACAAAAAAGGTTTCCGCCTTGAGGCGGACCTGCGCCCCTTGCTTATCGTCACCCACTGCCTAAAAAACAGTGGTGCCGCAAGGGCCAAACGACTTATCCTTCAGCCGTGCAATATCGTGAAGGAGAAACCCTTCACGATATTTCGCTTTCGACACTTGAGTGTCGTACGCAACCCCGAAACCCATGGGAGGTTGCACGGATGTGGGTAACGCATGAAGCGTCGCCATGATAGCAAACTAAGTGAGAACACATGACTGAGCGTTATGGTTCCCATGGCAGTGGCATTCGTTTTATGTAACTCTACGCAGACCTCGCTCAGACACATTGGCAGTTCTCAGTTATGGGTCAGGACGTATGAAAAAGGGACTAGGCTAATTTGTTTGTACGAGTTACTGTGTTTTATCGTGTATCGCGTGGTTGATTTAGGATGTCCTAGTCGACCGACGCTGAACCGCACGTGGGAGATCAGCGCCCCTGCGTGACGGTTCGCGTACGGGTTCGAGCTAGGCATGGACCGCACGTACCCCCTATGCTACAGCATACGAGAAACACCCTCGGTTGGGCCACCTCCGCGATTGCAAGTAAAAGCTTCCGCGTGTGGTTCAGTAGCTCGGCGGGGATACGCCCACCCAAGGGATGGTGACAGCTCCCACGGGTGGAGGTAAGTTGTACCTCGCGAGACCCTGTCCTGTCGTAGGGACTCGATGGAGGTATAGCTGGCGCACTCGGCCGGAGCGGCTCCGCCGCTTCCCTTTTCGTGAAGCGACTTGCAAATTTCTGCCAATCCTGCGTGACGCGGCCGGGAAGGTTCCCCCAGCGGGGACCGTGCGCACGACACCGTTCCATTAGTTCCAAGTGTCTTTTGGCCTTGTCTCGAGCTGTGACCCTGGTGGGTCGTCGGTTCAGTGTGGATTCATCCGGTAGGCTTGGTATCGAAACGCAAGCGACGCTATTGGTCCTCCATTGAAAGGGGCTTAGCCCCGTCGATTCATGAGGTGTACCGCGATGGACCACTAGGATGTGGTCGACGATATCGGGCAGGGCCTCGGATCTCATGCCTGGATATTCTGCCGCAATGTCGTCTTTATCACCCTGTTCGTGTTTTCCACCAGCCCATTGGTTTGCGACATGTGGGGTGCAGTATTCCGTATGGCGACGCCATGTAAGACTAGATTCCTTAGCACTTCTCCCCTGAATTCAGCCCCATTGTCGGTTAGGATCTCTTTCGTATCCTAGTGCATCCCGAGAAAGCGGTTGACGTATCGCGCGATTTCGGCGGCTTGTCGCGTGCGACAAGGGTAGGCTTTGATCCATTTCGAAAAATGGTCGACATATACCAATAGGACTGAATACTCATAACTATTAGGACCAGGGGGCACCACTATGTCGGTAGTGTTCATATTGACTCTTTGAAATCGCCGTTCAACTACCGTTGATACTATCGATCTTGGCGGCTGAATCGGCGCCTTATCAGCGGCGCAGACTTGACAGTTGATGACGATGTACTTTACATCGTCGCGGATATTGGACCAGTACCACTCATTTTTGTCGATAGTGACTCTGTGATCCGTACGGCGAAATGAGCCGCAGTCTCTTCATGTGCCATCTTAACCCAGTCATACCTCATGAACGGATGCGGTACAACCATCCAAATCCCACTGCCGCCAGTTTTTCGTTTTTTAATCTGCCCTCTATCCACTTGTAATCGTGATCCCTCTCGTTGGCCCTCCTCCGATCTTCCTTGGTGAAATCCTGGAGGGGGGTGCCAACCAGGGTGGCAATCAAGGCGATATCAATCCATACTTCGGCCCTTCTAAGTTCTAAACCTTCGGGTCTTTTCCAACCCTTCTGACGTGGCATCCAAAAAGCGAGCCTCGGAAGGAATCTTGTCGGTTCGACACAAGGGGCACAACCACGGTTTACTATCGTTTCTGTATTGGATGCACGAGCCATGGGCTCGTGCAACACACTGTCGACAATCTATCCAATCCGCATACCCTTCCCCGTTAGGACGCATGGAAACCGAGTACACACGGGAGATAGCTTCGCAAAAATAGCAGAATTTGTCAGGCAGGGAAACGAGAGACGAAGAAGACAGGGGAGAAAGAGGGGTAGTGGGGTTACCTCCGTCATCTATGTGTCCGAAATTCGATTTAACTCGGGGTCCGCGTTAAAAAATTGAACGCGCGTTCAATTCCCGTTCAATCCGCGTTCAAACGCACATTGGACGCGAATGAACGGGGTCCGCGAACCGTTCTTTCGCGCTCTCGGGGGGGGGGGGGGGGTTTTTGTGAAGGTGCGGGGTGGTAGTACTCATTGTCGGGTACCACCCCGTGCATTCATTTTTTTATTTTTTATTTTTTTTCCCAAAGAAAAAAAAAAAACGCGGGGCACCGGCTTGCGGCTCATTTGCCGCGCGAACAGGTACTTAACGCGCAAGCGCGTTCGGCCGCAGCTCATTTGCCGCTCGAGCACTAACGCTCCAACGTGACGAACGGGTTGCCCGTCAAGTTGGAACGCGCGCGCGCGCGAGAGAGAGAGAGAGAGAGAGAGAGAGAGAGTGCGCCTTACAGAGCGGAGAGAGAGAGAAAGCGAGAGAGAGAGAGAGAGAGAGAGAGAGAGAGAGAGAGGTGCGCCATAGCGCGCGAGAGAGAGAGAGAGACAGAGAGAGAGAGAGAGAGAGAGAGAGAGAGAAAGAGAGAGAGAGAGAGAGAAAGAGAGAGAGAGAGATAGAGAGAGAGAGAGAGCAGCCCGGAGCGCAGCGGAGCATGGAGCGTGGAGCGCGTCGGAGCGGAGCGGCGATGGCGGGGAAGCGGCGGAGCGGGTCAATGACGGATGAAATCGAGCGTGCGCGAACCCGACGAACGCCATTGAATTTTTAATTCAACGACGTTAAACGCGTTCTAACGCATTTTAACGCGATTTAACGGCGTTCAACGCGATTTAACGGCGTTCAACGCGATTTAACGGCGTTCAACGCGATTGAACGCGCGGGTCTGACCATTGTTTGGTAGGGTTCGGCGGGGTTCGGCGGCCCGCAGGGGGGGGGGGGGGGGGGGGGGGGGGGGGGGGGGGGGGGGGGTATCGAAGGGTTGCATGAGCCTGCCCCTGACCCTCTGCAGGACACATTCAGGGGCCGCTCCCCTGTGTACCGTTACCTGGTTGTCGGCCAGAAGGTCGACAACAAGGGGGTCATGATGCTGTGTTGCACTTTTTGCAACAAAGTATTTCAGGGGAGCCAATTCCAGGCGACGAGGCATTTCACGCAGACGAACTATTGCAAGGACGTCAGCGACGAGGCTTTGTACGAGATCGCGCGACGGAGTCAACAGAAGTTCGAGAGCGATCAAATGGAGAGGGTTGCCAGGTACGCGGCGGAGCGCGGAGTCGATGTGCCTGGCACGGGTGGTGTGAGGGGAGGAGAGGCGGGGCGGCAGCCCGTGGAGGGAGCGTCAGGAGGGGTAGGGGGAGATGGTGGAGGTGGAGACACGGAGGAGGGCGCGATCGACGTCGATCGCGAGGCGCGTGTCCCGGGCGAGCAGGGAGTCCCGGGACACGAGGACGTGCCTGAGGTTTATCCAGGCACTGGGGAGAGGATGGAGGACCTTTTTAGGCGAGCAGCCAAGGGACCTGTAGAGGAGGGTTCTTCCAAGAGGAAGGAAGGTGGAACAGATCCGGCCGCCGCCCCAGCTGGGAAGAGGCATCGCCAGCAGAAGGTCACTGACGTCTACGGTGGCGAGTGGGTTGCTCGCCACAAGAAGACATTCCTTCGCTGGCTCTATTCCAGCGGGGTCCCCTTCAATGCCTTCCGCAACCAGGCTTGGAAGGCATACCAGCAGGTCCGTCTTGAGCAGCCTGGCAGTTCCCCTCGCGATGTGCTCCCCAGCCACAGCGAGATTGCGAGTATGCAGGCGGTGGAGACCCACCGTGAGGAGCTGGTGGAGGAGTTGGAGGAGGTGAGGCAGCCATTCTGGATCACTGGTGCCACCCTCCTCTCTGACAGGAGGAAATCACGAGACGGAAGACCGATCGTGAATTTCCTTGCCGCCGGCTCGCTGGGGGTCGTCGTCTACACGACGATCAATCGCGAGGGCGAGCCGGACGATGCAATGCACGTCCTTCGGAGATGGGTGACCATCTTCCACGAGTTCAGTTTCGGCGGCCCGCAGCGGGTCAATGCGATATGCACAGACTCCGCATCGGCGTACGTGGGCGCTGCGAGGGCATTGGCCTCGTCGGGCATTTCTCCTGCAATGAGGAGGATCACTTGGCTTCCGTGTTCTGTCCATGTCTGCAACAAATTGTTGTCAAACATGGGGACGAGTTGCGACGCGTTTGTGGACGCGATTACACACGCTCGTGTTCTGGTGGTGTTTTTCAAAACCCACCAGGCCGCCCTTTATTTCTTTAGGAAGCGCAGCCCCAACAAGGGGCTTGTGCTTTCTTGCGAGACACGGTTCGCGTTTGTTTATTTTATGTTGGAGAGACTGTTGGCCCTGCAGGACGCTCTGCAGGCGATGATGCGAGGGGATGAGGGGCGGGAGTTTGCTTCTATACCGTGGTCCGCCGATGTGCGCGACATGGCGCGTTGGGTGCGCCGACAGATCAGATGGGAGCCTTGGTGGCACACGATGGCCACCATAGTCCACATCATGCAGGCCGTCATGGAGCTGCTTAGGCGGATGGATCGTGGGGGGCAGTACATGTCCCTCATGATCGAGTGGACACAAGATCTTGTCCGCCGTGTCACTGATGCATGCGCTCATTTGGGGAGGGTTTTCGCTGACCGCATCGTCAGGCGTGTGCAGGCTCGCACACAACACATGCTGGAGCCTGCTCACTGCACGGGGTTCTTACTTAACCCCCGCAGACGACATGTTGAGTACTTTTCGGGCGAGGTGAGGGATTACCCTCGGTGGCTTGTAAGGCAATCCAAGAGGTACATTTTGACGCAGACGGGTTACGAGGAGGATGGTGTGGAGTACATCATTGCATGTCGGCAGTTTGAGGACTTCCACATGCAACAGGTCACATTTGGGGATTGGGGAGGGGGGGAGGGGTGTGCTCGTGGGCGTACTTGCAGCGGCGACAGGGAGACGATTGAGTGCGCGTCCTGGTGGTCTCAGTACGGGTTTGGCGCACCTGAGTTGCAGCGTTGCGCTCTTCATATGATGCACATGTGGTCTTGCGCCTCTCCAGCGGAGAGGAACTGGGCAGTCCACGAGGGCATTCACACGAAGAAGCGCAACCAGTTGGCCTTTGAGAAGGTCGTTCAGCTCGTTGAGATCACCGCGAATGTGCGGTTGTCGGAGTATCGGCGGGCTGGGTGTGGTTATGTGCTGCCATGGCAGCGGGACGAGGGCATGCTAGACTGCCAGGCCGGACTGGAGTTGGAGCCAGTGCGCACGGGCACGCGCAGGAGGATGACACCGGAGGAGATTGCCCGTCAGGTTGCGCTTATCACCCGGGATCCCATCGGGGTCTCCGCACCACCCGCCGCTGAGGCCGTATTCGGTAGACGTGCTTCCATTTCTGTCCTTACCCCAGGGAGGATGATTCCGACGAGGAACCGATACCCGAGGCAGCGGACCACCCCGCACTCTGGGCAGCGCTCTGGGGTCGGAGTATCGGCGGGCTGGGGGCTGGGTGCGGTTGACAGGGCGGAGAGGGAGATGATGGGGGGAGAGGAGGAGTTCGGGGGACCGTTCGGGGAGGTCGCTTCGATGGGCGGCACAGGAGCGCGGGCGACGAGCCCCGCTCCGACGAGGCAGGAGTCGTCCATGCCGCCACCTTCTTCTCCGAGTCCTGCACCGCCATCGCCCGTCGCGCCATATGAGCCGACCACGGCAGCAGAGGACACGGAGGAGTTGGCGTCCTCTTTGCCTCAGCGCGGAGTACTCCACAGAGGCGGGGCAGTCCGACAGCTGAGGTTACGATCACCTTCTCCGGGGGTCTTGCAGGAGGAGGGGGGACCATCGGCAGCAGCAGTGGAGGGGGAGATGGCAGTGGAGGGGGGATTGGCGGACACGACGATTGCAGGTGTAGTGAACCAGATAGTTGTAGCAGCAGCGGCTTCATTGCTAGAGGAGATGGCAGCTTCAGTGTTGGCGGAGGAGGCACCAGCGCCAGGGGGAGCAGATGCAGTGGAGGGACAGGCGGGAGTAGCTGGAGGAGCAGCGGGAGGAGCAGCTGGAGGAGCAGCTGGTGGAGCAGCTGCACTGGATGGGCTTGTGGCTGCAGCAGCTGGAGCAGCGAGACGAGGGTCGGATGCAGTGGGGGGGGGAATGCTAGGAGCAGTGGAGGAGGAGATAGGGGCACAGGCGGAGGTGTCGCGTGGGGGCGGCGACGAGCGCCTCATGCAGCAGTTCCTCACGGAGTAGTACGAACCGGTCATGGCGGGTATGACCCCAGGTGTGGCGAGGGGGTTGGGGATGTCGGATTCGCAGATGGGGAGCCACCTGGACTTAGATTTGTCGATGGGCCTTCCACCTAGTTGCGGCGGGGCGACATCGACGGATCG